TGTTTGAAAACCGAATTACACCCTTTGTCCAAGTATAAAATTTAAAGCAGACGCAATTTCCTTCCATATGAATAACGGATATTTTTGCGCATTTTTTCTATGAAATATTATGGAATATTTAAGGGCATCGAAAATCAATGAGGAAAATGAATGCTTTATAAGTAGTCATTTTTTACAGAGCGTAATTTTGCTGGTGGTCAGAAAGAAGTTCGTTCAAAATCCGGCATCCCGAAGTAACTGAAATATCTTGGAATTATGCTGCATGGTGATTAATATTACAACTCTATTCAAGTAATCTTTTTGAATCGAAAATTCATTACAGAATATTGGCTAACGGTTTATGAGTTACCACATCTACCTTACTCTGGATCGTGATGGCCGCTTCTGGTCGTCAGTCAGTCCTACCTAGCGCATTAATCCTCATCGGTCGTCCGGCGTTATAAAGACTAACGCTCTACCGATCGCCCCCCTACCGAGGACACAACCAAGGTCGTGGTGTAATCTGTTCTCGAATGTTTAGTCTCACCCGGCCTGCCGTCAGAAAGTGGGTAACTTCCGCTAAGCTGGAGGTCAGTAATGCGTCCGTGTGTCCATCGGTCTTCGAGTGTTATTAAGTCTAACGTCCTCCATAGTTAATGTACCCAATCACATACCTAACAGGACAACGAACCCATGACTCCAGTGTTTAGGGCGCTGGACCTAATAGGGCTTAGTAGCCAAAAGTGTGTCAGTTCGGGCCTCAGGTGTCCCCAAACCTGGGTTCTAGTAGGGCTGGCTGACTATGGCCATTCCGACCCCCCCCCCCGTGCCCTTGTCGGCACAACCTTGCCTAATATCTGCTGAACGCCAAAATTTTTTATTGAGTAGGCTGAGTGGTGGAGTTCGAATTCATCGTCTAGACCAGGTCAACATACGGTATCTGGCCAATCTCGTGAAATACCAACCGAACTGCTGAAATGTGTTGTAGATCAGAAAGGATTAATGCGTGACCGATCTCATGAAATGTTGGCCAAAATTCTGGAATGCGTTCACGATTAGAAAGGATTATTCAAGTGGGGTTGTTCTACTGATTATCATGTAGGATAAGCCTATAACATTTCGGACTCGTCGGGACGTCGGCTTTTGAATGCACTCATTTTTGACCTCCTGTAAAAACCACACTCGGTGAAAAAGTGGCCACTTAAGTAGCATGCATTTTTCCTATTGATTTTCGATGGTCTTATAAATTCAAATGCGTTTTATGAAGAAAATGCACAAAAATAAGCTTTCTTTTGTTCATTTGGTAGGAAATTACATTGTCTTCATATGCTATCTCCGAAGAAATTGTATATTTTGGTTTGAAAGAAGTTTCTAATCATGAGATGTTTAAGACCGTGCGATGTCCATGCATGCAAGACCGCGCATGTCCGTTTACTGATGCTCCCCATGAAATGTGCAACACAGTCCGGATCCATTGCAAAATTTTATAAACTCTATGTGGTATCTTCTTAAAGGCACAGAGGAATATGTGATTTTCCCTACGCGGGAAGCATGCACCCTGTAGACTGAAATTGCTAAACGCTGATGCAATGACAGATCAGGCTGAATATTATTCGGGAATTGGGGAACTTTTTTAAAACCAAAATATACACTTTCTTCGGGTATAAAATATGAAGACAATGTAATTTCCTACCAAATGAGCAAAAGAAAGCGTATTTTTGTGCATATTTTCTGTAAAATATGTTTGAATCTATAGGACCATCGAAAATCAATAGGAACAACTCATGCTACTTAAGTAGTCATTTTTTTACCGAGTGTGGTTTATGCAGGAGGTCGAAAAGAAGTACATTCAAAAGCCGACATCCTGGCAAGTCCGAAATTGTGTAGGGTTATGGTTCATGATAATCAGTATAACGACCCCACTTAAGTAATCCTTCCCAATCGGGAACGCATGCCAGAATTTTGGCCAACATTTCATGAGATCGGTTACGCACTGTAGGTGGCCTTGCAATATTCCTTGTCATACAGCATAATCCCAATGTATTTCAGCCAAGCCGGGATGCCACCCTTTGAATGATTTTCTGTCTGGCCGCCCGTGAAAACTACGCTCGACAAACAATGTCCACTTATATAATGTAAATCCTTTCCATTTATTTTCGGTGCCCTGATAAAGTTAAGTATATTTTGTAGAAAACATGCCCAAAAGTATTCTTCCCCGCAGTTATCTGGTAGTAGATTGCATACCCTTATAAATTCAAATATATTTTATAAAAAAAATGTGTCCAAAAATACTCCTTCTTTATATTCCTTCTGGTGGCAAATTACGTCTTCTTCACATTTTGTACACAAAGGACAGAAATCTTTCGGTTTAAAAAATGTGCTTTAATGAGATTCTTAAGACCATGAAACACCCATCCATTCGGCATCATATCTGTCCATTTACCAATGCTGCTTAGGTTGTTGACAATATGATCCACATTTACTCCACGCTTTTATCAGCCTTATATGGCATCTCCCCAGATGCATTATTTTTCATATGCGTAAATTTTAAGGCATGCCGTTTTTGTAACCCTGATCAAAAGTGCAGTTGTAAGTCGGGTTGGTTTTTTAAAATCGAAAGATTAGAAAATTTACAAAAGATTCTATGTGAAACATCGTTTTCCCGGAATAAAGTTGAACAAGGCAAAGGCGGTGAAACATGCAGGATTTATTGAAGTCGTAAAATTTCGTGATCTCTTATTCAACTGCACACGGTCATTGCGTATTTATGAAGTAAATTGTCCAATCAGAGATGAAGCACGATAGGTAAATAAAACATACGCTGTTGGCCCGCGCCTTGCCGAGACCGCTGCAATACGGGGGGCGAAAACCGTATCTCCGTAGGCAGATAGATCACGTGATCAACCTCGCGCTGCCATTGTAGGGAACGATAATACTATAACCCCATTCCCCTCCCCCCGCATGACTGACTGCCGTCCTGCGTGTTTAATTTTAAACACGCCTGACAAATTTTCACCGTAATGTAAATTCGTTTGCTTACAGTACGTGACCCATCTCATGAAATCTGATAACGGAATCTGAAGGGAGAATTTCTGGACGCCTTTAACGTTGCGCATTTTGTTCGCTCACCCACATCCTTGAATGAAATGTCCTTTTCTTGTTCAGAAATTGTGTTTACGTAATTATATCAAGTAAATACCAGTCAATTTTAGCGAAAATAGACTTTGGAATATATTCGTCCTAGACTCGGGTTGCGCGTCTCAGCATGTCTTTCATTGAAAGGAAAGTAATTTGCCTCCGATAGTTTTAATAAACAGATTTAGCCGAACTTGAAAATTTGTTTTATGCCCGATGTTAACCATGGTGATCAACCTGCGAAAAAAAGGTTATTTTAGGAAAACCAGAGGTTTTACCAATTCCTAAATGTCAAATTAGTAGATCTGTTGGATTTGGTGCCCTAATGTGCAATAATAACGCAGATATGGAGTCCTTCGTTTAAATAGGCTTAAATTGTTTTGCCATTTTGAAAATGCTACCTGATGTCACATAGATGACCACCACGGAATGGTCATTTCCAGCTTTAAACATATGACACACTACTTTTCTAGTATTTTAGCTTCTGCGCACACTTTTTTTCAGAAATGGAACGAGCAAAACATTAATATTTTCAGCAAAATATCAATATTTATATGGGCGCTCGGCCGTGCATTCATAATAGAAGAATGGAACCTAAAAGCGAGCAGAAACAGTGGAAATGGCCTCAATGCATAGAGCAAGGCATATTCTTACTAGTGTTTAGGAACGTGAAAGAAACGACCAAAAGTGTTAAATTTTTACTTGGCCCCACCGTGAAAAAATGTACATTAAACAGAGACCCGTAAATGGAGTGTAGTAATAAAGCACTTCTTAAAGAGGTAACTTATGAAGAAAAGTTTTCTTATTGATCGAAGGCATATTCATTGCTGACTTTCTTTGTGGACAGCAATTTTTCACGAAAGTGAAGTTCGATGTTTGAATGAGTCTTCTCATGTGACCGAAACGACCACCATCGTGAAAGGGAGCGCCTGAACACTCACTAATTCGGTAAATGCCTTCGATACTAATCTCATTTTAAAGTTCTCAACAGATAGGTAATTCAGAATCTGTCTTTATGGACGATCAGGTGAAAACACTGAGAATCATGAAGTACTCAGCAATATTTCGAGGCCGATCTGAAACTCAGCGTAATCCAAAACGATGGAAAAGTATAAATTAATTTAACATAAGAAATGTTTTCTCTATAAACACAAAACAGTATGCTTACGATCACGCCTGTCAGTTCTATTTCAATTTATTAGGCACCGACCGGCCTTATAGCATGTCACCTAATGAAAACTTTTGATCCTACGACGTCCCCATCGGCGAAATCAAGCGAAATTCAGCTTCTCTTGTTAAACTCCATCTTATATAACTCAAAGGAGTCACTGATGACACGGATCCCTCGAAAACTGATTTGGAATCTACACGCAGAATGTAGGCAGTTGACAACGCGTCATATATGAAATCGAACTAATTAGTAAACAACATTTAGATGTAAACTTCACTAAAACACAGTTATTAGACGTTGTTTTGTGTCTTCTTTCATATTTATTACGTTTTTGATATGAGAATACATTCTATACATCTAACTCGAAGTTTGCTAAATAAAAGTCATTTCTGACGTTTTCGGGATATTGAGCCTATCAAAATAACTCGGCATTTCTTAACTACGCAACACTGCCTATGATACTTCTTTCATGTTTTTAATTTTTTTAAATTTATACTTAATTAACATAGACATTTGACTCATGAAATGGTGTCCGTTTGCGAGTGATTGGTAATCATTCGTAAATTTCGACACATTTCATGAGTTAGGTCACTAACTGTAGGTAACTTCCCTCCCCATTCCCCCTCGCCATGCGCACCCGTATATCAGACCAACAGGATACGTTTTATTTACCTATCGTGTTTCATCCCTCTAGGCCTATCTCTGATTGAACAGTTTAGAAGAAGAAGAAGAAGAAGAAGAAGAAGAAGAAGAAGTAGTAGTAGTAGTAGTAGTAGTAGTAGTAGTAGTAGTAGTAGTAGTAGTAGTAGTAGTAGTAGTAGTAGTAGTAGTAATAGTAGTAGTAGTAGTAGTAGTAGTAGTAGTAGTAGTAGTAGTAGTAGTAGTAGTAGTAGTAGTAGTAGTAGTAGTAGTAGTAGTAGTAGTAGAAAAAGAAGAAGAAGAAGAAGAAGAAGAAGAAGGAGAAGAAGAAGAAGAAGAAGAAGAAGAAGAAGAAGAAGCGATCGCTGGAACAAGGGCTTCATTCGCATGACGTTTCGGATTCTCACTTGAACCCATCATCAGAGACAGTGGCAGAAACGGGTTCTGAAACTCGCATCTTCACTTGAACGGTTTACCTTATAAATACGCAATGACCGTGTGCAGTTGAATAAGAGGTCACGGAATTTAATGATGTCAATATATCCTGCACGCTTTGTCGCCTTTGCCTTGTGTAAAGAAGTCATTTACCACCAAATTAGTACAAAACGTGCATTATAGCATGCTTATCATAAAACATAATTGAATTTACAAGGGGCTCCGCAAACAAAAAATGAAAATCCATGCCACTTAATTAGTGATTTTTCCGAATGGACTTTGCGAGCGGTTGAGAAGGAGCTCATTCCAAAGCCGGCATCTCGGATTGACTGAAAGATCTCCGGATCTTACTGTATAATAATTAATAAGTGATCCTTTCTAATTCAAAACGCGTTTCAGAATTTCGGTTAGCATAGCCGGGAAAGGAGAAATGATCGCTGGAACAAGTGCCTGACGTTTCGGACTCTCCCTCGAATCCATCATCAGAGACAGAGTTATTTAAGGGAAGTGGATTGCTCAGATGTTGCAATATTTATAGGATGTATTTGCTAAGCCGCTTCACCCCTAGCACTTTTTCCAGCCATCATGTCTCCTTCTCCGCGGCTAATTCCCGAAACTCGCCTCTTTGCTTCCATTAGCAAATTCGGTTAGCATTTCATGGGATAGACCAGGTGCTGTAACCATCTTACTTGTCAACACACTCAACTTCGCCACTGGTCGCTTATTTCCTTGGAAGAGATCGATTTCTGCCGAATTATAATAAGAACAAAGTCCGGCCTCCATCTCTGTTCCTCCCACCGTGTTTCACCGGCAGTTCGACCTTCGTGACCGACGATGTCCACTGTGTGCTCAACAGCGGGGTGTGAGCAGGCACGATGACTTATGCGTGACCTAGTTTATAGTGGGAGTAGACTTTCACAGCACCTACCGCACTCTCTCCTCCCCCCCCCCACCTGGGCACGGCGTCATGATAAAGTCGAGAAGGCCGGAGGCGAGAAAGGTCGCACTTGACTGGCCCGGCGAAAGCCCCCACCTAGGCGTACCACCACACCCCCTGGTCTACAACAAACACTTGACCAGGATTTTAGTCAACAGCAACAACAAGGAAGGGGGCGCCAAGGGTCCCAGTTGGCGCGACGTGAGCCGACACCTAGGCCTGCCACCGCACCCTGAATGCTGGCATTAGTTATGGGTGCCCATTCCCGATAATGCCTGCCGAACCCCGGCCTAGCCCACCCCCCCTTCTCCTCCCCCCCTGCTGATCCAGCGCATCTACCGCGTGGCACAGTTTAGGGGCAAAGTGTGCATCGTGCTTATACGAGAACAGCCTCTCCAAACGGTGCCCTACGTATGCAGTTTCGCAGACGTGACAGTAATTTTCCAGACTGGGGACGGGAAGCACATATTCAGCGCCCTGAGCGGCCGCCTTTCGGCCTTCCACACTAGCTTTGGACCGTTTTTCTGCTGCTTTTGACACGCCCGATAATGGTCGCCAATGCGAGTTCGAAAACACAGGCGAGTAAACGCCCACCTCCAGTCCGTCCCCTGCCCTCCCCGAAAACCCCAAAAAGTCGCCTCTATGTGTACTGCTGATTACTGGATAGGTCGGAATCGTCAAAAAAAAACCCCGGTGCCTGTTTTTGATTCCTGTTCTATGTAAGGAGTGTTTCTTGCCTGCATCATCCACTGAAATTGCGGACACTAAACAACTTTACAGCTGGATTGTTTACTTAAGGGCTGTTGGCATCTGTCCCCCAAAATCGATTTCCGTATTGATTCCTAACCATTTCTTCCCAAAAAGGGGACATTTTCAGCTGAAGATGTCTCACAGGCGTTAACGGCAAAGATTGTGAGTACCGGAATGACCATTTCAGACCAGTTTTCCGTCATCAGTCAATGATACTCCAACCTCACACGGGCTGGTCTGAAAGGTAGGCTTTTTGCTTAGTTTTCCCCGTTCTTTCCTCCAGGGCTCTGCCTATTCGATTCAAATGCACTCCACAACGGTTAAAAAGAGAAGATAATCAGTAATCGGACGTTACTGTAGCTATGCTGTCAGAAAGAACGAAACAACACACATACAAAGGTAGCTTGGCCGTCGTAAGCGACTTCGTAGACCACGCAAAGGAAGAAGCGCTGGTGGCCTGTGCGTGAGTAACGCGAACGTAATGGCCAGCAAATCTAAATGGCCGTCTACGCGTGCTGCGCACACGACCTGATGAGGTAGGCTTTTAACAGGGCGGCTCGGATCTCCCATAGGTGGGAGTGCTATAACACAGGCACACACACACACACTTGGCATGTCGGAATAAGCGATGTTTTAACGTTTTTCGGTCAGGTTAGCAAATCACTATGCGCTAGGCGGGGATTAATCCTTGTGGGAAGTGAGTGGACACTTGCGTTGAACGTCCGGGCAAACAGGCTCAAAGGTGTCCTATCCAACAGTGGCATGATGGCCCTTTGTCGTTTTGCCTACCGACTCACTCGGGATTGTAGGACTGTAACAAAGTCCGGCGATCGGTGCCGTGGGTCGCCAACAGTCTGCACCCCAGTCCAGCCCCCACCACCTACCAACGTTTGAAAAGTTCTTTTAAAAGGAGAAATGCCTGCCACCCCGATGTCCAACCAGTCACTTGAAATAAGCCTGCGGAAGGAGAATTTGTTTGGTTTACAGAGCTCTGTGGTCTTTTTAAAAAACTCACACAAAACAATGATACATAAGTCTCGCAGGCAGCCTGTTTCTACTGCCAGGCCTGGTGCACATTGTTTTACTTAACAATGGTTGCCCAGGAGAGTAAAGGAGAGGGAAATTCTGAAGTGGCAAACGATGTAAAAGTCCTTTTAGGCTGAACCTCGAAGGTACTTCGTGTCTCTGTTTGTCTGCCTATACATATATGGCAAAAGTATTATATCCTACTCCTGACATCGGTACTAACTAAAGGATCAGACACGTGTTCCGCCGACATTCTGTCGCTGCGTGACACAGCTGTGAGGGGTTCAGCTCCTCAATGGGTTCCCCAGCGCTCATATTCGGTTTCCGGTATATGAACCCCGGAGAATAATCAAGCGAATAATTTCAGAAAGTATTCAGTGTAGGACATGGAGTTAAGTCTCCAGGGCATGACTTTCTAGGGTCAGACCCAAAATTTAAGCGAAAGTCCGTGTCAAAGACAATAAACTACTGTGAAATAACCACGCAGTGCGGTATAGTACGTTTCCCATACGCATTTCATACTACTTGTAGTATTGCTGGTTTGTATAATGGACATTACGTGGTTATTCCAAATAGTTTATTGTCTCCGACTCGAATGTGCATTGAAATTTCGGATCTAACCCTAAACGTCATGCCCCAGAGACTTAACTCCATGTCCTGCACAGAATAATTTCTGAAGTTATTCGCTAGGTACATATATATAATGGTAGAGGGGCGCTCACCGGTCGTTTTACGGAACTCGCTTGTCCCGTCGTGCCTTGCGGGCTCTCTCTCGAGCCCAACCAGCAGCCACACAGCGGCGCATGATAAAGATAGAATGTTATTACCGGCAAAGACAAGGCAGACTGGAATGGCCACTTCTGGCTTGTTATCCGTCTTCATTCAGTCACACCCGACATACAGGTGTTGACCACCTGGGGCTCGAACTCGCGGCCTGCTAGTTAGAAGTCCAACGCTTCTAACCGTCTTGCCTTTGTCGATAATAACACTCTGTCTGCATTATGCGCCACTGTATGGCTGCTGGTTGGACTCGAGAGAGAGAGCCTGTAAGGCACAACGCAACTAGTAAGTTCCGTATGAACGACCAGTGAGCGCCCCTCTACCATTGTACATTCCCGATCGAAGCCGACAGGATAAAAAGCCCGTAGCTCAGTGGTCAGAGGCATTTGACTTCCAACTAGCATGTCGCGATTTCGAGCCCCAGTTGTTCCACACTTCGGGGTTGGAAATGACTAGCTGACGACGGCTAATAAGCCAGAAATGGCCATTCCAGTCTCCCTTGTCTTTGTCGGTTATGACATTCTGCAGACATATATATATGTCCATGCGAGCCTTTATACCAACGATTTTACTCCAAGGGTGCATATTGTGCTCTGGCGAAATCTATGGTGAACTTGGGCGTTTATGTGTCGGAAACCACATAGGGCGGTCGGTGACAGCCACCGAGGGGTCGAACTCCTTGTAGTCGCGTCGTCCTGCAGTAGAAACATCAGAGAACCAAATTTCTGAGTTTTGGGATGTATGGTACGAACCATTGTCACGTGAACTCATACCACAAAAAGTACTACTGGTTCGTAAATAGGCATTACGCGGTAATCCAGTCCAGTGTATCTGTGAGAAGTATAGGTATGCACCTTTGAATCCCGATGAAGTTGTCGTCTTTGACTGACATTTTCACCGACCTTGGACACTTAACTCCATATCCTAGACCTATAAATCTCTGATATTTGTACCACTCTCTCCTCCTTCCCCGCCGTGTCAAGACAAATTCAAGAGGACCGGAGATGGGAGAGTCCGCAGATAGTTGGCGCGACGAGAACCCGCACCTAGGCGTGCCATCAAACCCTCTGGCTCATGAAAAACGCTTGATGAGGATTACCGGTAACAACAGGGATCCCATTTGGTGCGAAGTGGACCTGTATCTGGACGTGCGCGTTCTCAATAACGCCCGACAGACCCCGACTCAGCTTCTGTATTGGCCCAACTTATATGCCTCATGGTCCACTTTGGGGGAGGGCATCCAGTCTACACACAAGTATACAGACGGTGGGCTAACTCGGGAAATGTCAACCGAAATTCCGAAATGCGTTTTCGTTTTGAAATTATTAATTAAGTGGAGTTTTAGAGCTAATCATCATTCAGCATAATTCTATGATAATTCAGTTACCCCAGAATGCCGGCCTTCGAATGTACTTCTTTCCGGCAGCATGCAAAAGCTATACTCTGTAAAAGATCACTACTTATTTAGCATCCATTTTCGATGCCCTTAAAAACGCAATTAAATTTCATGGAAAACACGCATAAAAACATTCATTTTTTGCTCATTCGATAGAAAAGTACGTCTTCTGTCAATTTTAATCTCAAAAGAAGGGTATAATTTGGTTTTCAAAAACTTTTCCAATTCCCGAATAATTTTGAACCCAACCTGCCGCTACATTCGCATTAAGGGTTTCCAAACCACAAGTCATATATTTTCCGCGTACGGAAAACCATACGTTTCACGACGGTGTTAAGTGGACACCATATGGGATTCATACAATTCAGCAGTGGATTTGGGTCATGTCGTTAACTTTACGAGCCATATTGGTAAATGCAGAGACATGATGTTTTTTGAACGGCCATTTCACGGTATTAGAAAATCTCACAATTGGAAACTTTTTTAAAACCGAATTATACCCTTCCTTCGAGTATAAAATTGGAAGAGGACGTCATTTTCTACCGAACGAGTAAAAGAATGGATATTGTTATGCATGTTCTCCATGAGATATAATTGAATTTTTAAGGGCATCGAAAATCAATGAGAAAGATTCATGCTACTTCAGTAGTCATTTTTTTACAGAGTATAGCTTTTACGTGCTGCCGTGAAGAAGTTCGTTCGAAAGCCAGCATCCTGGGGTAGCTGAAACATTATAGAATTATGTTGCAGGCTGACTAGTCTTACAACCCTACTTAATTAATCTTTTCGAAACGAAAACGCATTTCGGAATTTCGGTCGACATTTCATGAGTTAGCCCACCTACGGTAAGCCTATACAACGGTTTTTATGCAGCAGTCCTAACGTAGATGCTAGTTGGAAGTCATGACACCTGTTTCGATGGTGCCTTCACCGCTGCACTGCACAAATGCAAAGGACTCGGCTTCTCACTGAGTCCCTCAGCGTTTTCTATGAGGCCCGTGATATATGAGCCCCAGCGAAGTGCGAACCTATTTAACTTCGCAAATAATTCAAGGAAGGACCTGATGCGTCATGACACAGGAATAAGAACCTTCCTTGCGTTAATTTCCTGAGGGATTGGAGTTAGTGCTGAGAGCGATGTTGGCGTTAAGATCGGCGTTAGGTTCGAGGTTTTGATTAGGATCCAGACATGCGGGTATTTGACCTTCCTGGGGGGGAGTTCCGATGTCCATGTGTTATCCTTGGCACTAAGTATCCAGGACATGGCTTTTATGGTCAGCTAGGAAATCTTGATAGACATCTGGATCGGATGCAGTCAACTTCTTCCATGCAGCCGCATAAGGCGCATTCTGCTAGCAACCAATACTACTAGGAGTATTAACAGGAATATATTTGTCGAGTTTGTGTTTTTTAGTCAGGACGCCTTCGAAGTGTACGCAAAAGCCGCCTATTTCAAAGCGTACGGGTTGCGTCTGAGGTTTTTGCAAGCAACAAAATCTCATCTCTTCAGGTACATAATTATCTTTTAAATGCGCATTAGAAATTGTAGAAACTCATCACACACTTCATCTCTTAAGTATGACCTAGTTTATACAGGTAGTGCAAATCACGTCATTTAAACAGCAGATTATTCGTGAGTATCGTTATCAGTAGTTACTGGAATAATATCACGTTTAAAGCCGGTAGGCTACGTTCTAGAAATTGGCTGGGGCGTATATCCTCCGCCAGTCAAATTCATCCAAAGTAACAGTCAAACATGACCCGCCAATATTAACTAATCTGATAATTTCACCTTTAAATGAAATCTCTGGGCAGGAAGCTCTGCATCCACCGTGCCGCGTTCACATCCGAAATTCTGTTAGAAGTAGTGGTGGTAGTAGTAGTAGTAGTAGTAGTAGTAGTAGTAGTAGTAGTAGTAGTAGTAGCAGTAGTAGTAGTAGTAGTAGTAGTAGTAGTAGTAGTAGTAGTAGTAGTAGTAGTAGTAGTAGTAGTAGTAGTAGTAGTAGTAGTAGTAGTAGTAGTAGTAGTAGTAGTAGTAGTAGTAGTAGTAGTAGTAGTAGTAGTAGTAGTAGTAGTAGTAGCAAGAGTCCTGAGGGCAGGAACCAGTTTCGCCTCACTCCTAATACCGAGAAGTATTCATTATTTCAATCAGAATCACTGCGCATATATCTACAAGCTTAAAAATGTGTTTTGGGGATTCTCTGATGCTGCAGGACGCCTCTGCGAGTTCCCCCTCCTCCTCCCCCCCCCCGCCCCAGGCTTCTCCTTTTAGTTTTCTGGATTTTATAGAAGTTTTAACTCGGCGTTTTCGATTCGGCCGCGTGCGAAAATGGGCTAAAGTCCTTGAGGCAACTGAAGCTGATCTGGCGAGCAACGATATGCTGGAAATAAGGGCGCATTTCCAAGGACATGTGACTAAATAGCATATGGGTCTTAAGGTTTGTTTATGTCTGTTATGCCATGGTTCAACAAGTCATGACCCTCGCGGCCTGGTGTGCGCTGGCAGTTCTCTGGCACCTGGTTTCCTGCCGCTAGATGAGCCTGCGCTCCCGCTGGGCATACAGGCCGGGTCATACAGGTCATTCTCATCTTTCTGACCCGTTGTGGTGCTGTTGTTGCTGGTTAATATCCTGGTCAAGTGTTTGTTGTGAACCAGGAGTTATGGAGTGGAGCGCCTAGGTGCGGGTCCGGCCATGCCAGCCACCTGCGCCCACTCCCGCCTCCGCTCTCCTTGACTATATCTTGACACCGGACTCAGGTGAGCAGGAGGAGGCAGTGCGTTAGATGCTACGCAAGTCTACTCTCATGATCAACTGATTCACGCACAAACCATCGTGCCTGCTCTCACCCTGTTGCGGAGCACACGTTGGCCATCGTCGGTTGTGGCGGTCGAACTGTCTGCATGGTGGACGTTAACAATTTTTTTGTAATTCGCCTTGGGTCGACTGCCGAAGCTTCATGTCCTTCCACACGCTCTTGTCCTGGTCCGGTGCGGTCACTTTAAGGTCCTGCGAAATGTCCACCAAACCACCGGACAGCTGAAATCGGTCTCTCTCGCTCTCGCAAACTGCCCCCCCCCCGCCGACCCACCCCCGTTCCCGCAACCTTTGCGTCCCAATTCGGCGTTCGGGAATGTCGAGGCAACCTCTCGAGGAGAGAGAGCGCATGCGCAGGAAGTTATCAGGCAGTCTGGAATGTTGGTTTTAGTTTTCTCCTTGCTTCCTGTCTGCCGAGCAGGGAGCTATGCCCAACCAGCTAATTATTCCATCATCGACACTTTTTCACTTTAAGCCAGCTAACCAGACACCAATACTACTTTGCAATTTCTCCTCTAGAGGCTTTTTTACCAGAGTAGGCAGCGGCAAAGGTGAATTCTCTTTTTGCAAAAAAAAGACGGCCGGCGTATTGACTGGCGTGACGGCGTGGAATGCTTGTGCCATTGAGAGGCTCACAAACCGGACTGCCTCTCCGTGGGCACAAATGCTCGGCTTTCGAATGAATGTGACACAGCTACTTCTTACGGTTTCTTATTGTTCGTCAACGTGGTAAACTTATATGCGCAGAGCGTTCACGTGGACGTGGGGAACTCACCTTCCTCTTGCGTTTCATCTGGCGCTCCCACTGTTCATACTTCTTTTGCAGGGCTGTGGAGAAAGTGGAAAAATAAACGTACGGGTAAAAAATGCAGTAATGTACTTTAGTCACAGTCCAAACATTTACAGACCCGCAACAAAATCAATCTTTGGAGCTAAAATGAAAAAAATGGATAAGACTGCTAAGGCTGCGCGCTTACCATTAGTCAGGCGCTGAGGAAAATCGATAAGATCGACTGGCAATCGATCGCCCGTCCACTATTCACTTAGAGCAAATTTCCATGGCTAGCTCGGTCAATTTCAATTTGTAATTACTAGTGCGGCTTTCAGTGGGGCAGGAGTTGCTTTTCACACTAGCCCTCTTTAATTCACCACCTAAAATTCGACTTCTTAGGCTCGAGATTTGACACAGCTGTTCACTGGCAAACAATTTTCACAAAAGACTTCAGCAAACGTGTGAATAATTTAAAAGTTGCTTGTAAAGTATTCCTTAGAGATTTATTTGTGCTTAGTGACCTGTGTGAAAGTCATCTTCTCTGTCCAAGTGGGCTGTCTGTGTGTGTTTTTAACATTCGCCGATTTAGCCTGCCAAACAATACATACGACTGCCAGCCTTCTTACGCCGTACGAACTGGAAACAATGCGAAAAGCATCCCCCAGTAAAGATCATCTGAGTTGCTTTATTTGTGACGTTCGGATTTGTAAGGATGCGGTTCAACCAAACATTTAACCTAATGGTTTTCATTACATGCAATTTACAGGGATTTCTTTAACCTGGCATCTGTCCATGAATTTAAAAGGACCCATATATGGTGGTGGCGGTGTTGGTGTTGGTGGTGGTGGTGGTGGTGGTGGTGGTGGTGGTGGTGGTGGTGGTGGTCTCGTATTCGCTCTTTTAGACAAACCCAAAGCTGTAGCTGACCGTGTCTGTAACGGCTACAAGGAAGCAAGCTGAAACATAAAGCCACCACGTTGCCATTTCGAGGGGATTTACATCCCAAACCTACATTTATTTCAGCAATTCCGCGGCGTTAAGTCTCAATGAAATGAGTTTATTTCCTCTAATGGCTAATATGTCACCGTTAGTAGGAGCTCTCCATATCCGAAATCCATCCTCTCATAAGGGCTGCCATGCGGATCTTCGGTTGGGCGTACGATCAATGTGTACACGGACCAGTGAACTTAGCCCTTCGAGGATACACCGTCGGTTATGACCCTATAGCCGTCCGCCAAAAGGGCACAAAACACCTTATCGTCTTAGGATCGTCCAGCCTTTCCGTTTCCGGCCTTCAGTCAGTTATCAGGCACGCTTCCAAGACCCCTTACAATGCGTGCGCATGTTGGTCAGATTGCAGACATCCGCCTCAGACAGTGCGGGTTGGCGAGCAGATGACGGAGACCTTCCATCAGACAGAATTACAGTATGTTTTCTGAGTCCCATTTACACTTTTACGTATGGCTTTGTGGAGCCACGCTGTTTTGGTACAGAGCAGGCGTCAAAACGCTCAAACTTCTGACAATGACTGATAAGAATGGCTTTCAGAGTGTAGAGATAACTGATGAGTCCCTGAGCAATGGATTAGTGCTTCCAAGTCAATGGCTGCCTGAGATTATGCTCTTTTTTCGGTTTATGTCCTCTCATCCACCATTATCAGTCGTAGTCAGGAATCAGCTGCTTAGTCAGTTTGCGTATCTAAATTCATTCCCATGCCGCAGGAGGAAATTGAATTAATTTCAACTTATGCTATCACACCCTGGGAAAACGCGTTTTTAAAGGGTACTAGTACTAGTACTTTAATGTTTCATAGAGTTGAGGTGCTCGAATTCTGAGTTTATCCTCAAGGATATCAGCAGATCACGGCGCCTTAACGAACCCAGGCTGCATTATGTTCCGGTCAGCACTTGTCTCTGTACGACAGTTCGACCGTCGGTTTCGACGATGTCCGCCGTGTGCTCCACAACAGGGTGCGGGCACGGACGGTGACTTGCGCGTGAATTAGTTTATAGTGACGGTAGACTTGCGCGGCATCTACCGCACTTGCTCCTCCCCAACTCGGGCTCCGTGTCAAGATGCTGTCAAGAAGATCGGAGGTGGAAGGTGGATGTCAACGCACTGGACACTCAGACTGAGCCTAGAGTGCATGCCACACCGACACCTCCACCGCCGTTTCCGACGGCGTCCACCGTTTGCCCACAACAGAGTGGGTGCCGGCACTTCGACTTTCGCGTGAATTAGATTGTAATGACACATTGGCAATCTTTTGTATCGAACACCGAGTAGTATGTGGCTTTGCGTAGAAAAAACGGCACTACTGCGGTTGGCGAGCTGAATATACACGTCAACCGGAAGATCTGCTCTCTTTTCCAATTTTTTATTTAACGAACCACCGCTTCATCTCCACCAAATCTCACAAAGTTGGCCCCCTTCAGCTATTACAAGGATCCAGTAAAGGCGAACTGTTTCGTCACCGGCAGACGAAACAGCCCAGAACTATCCTCGCACCCCAAAAGTATTATTTAAAGAAGGAGAACGCTGATAGCCCAATTATGAAAACATTTAAGCTCATTCCTTTCCAATGAAATGTCTTCATGAAGTGTTGCGGTCGTACGATGGTTTCTCGACCGTCTAGATTTCAGTATGAATGCTTCTTTTAAAGGCACTAACACTGGTTCATCGGAAAGTTTTGCTTTCGTCAAACCATGAAAAGTTTATATCATCTGTCAGGTGGGAGCGGTATTGACGATTAAGGTAGCGTTGAGCAGTCGGTCTTTGGGCCTTATAAGAAACAGGTATTTACTGGACTTTTATCCCGGCCTACTAGTGATTTGTTCTCAAAAGTCCAGTCGTTGAGATGGCGCTTGCCAACAAATGGCCCTTTAACTTTCAGACTATTTGACTAGCTCCTTATACAGTAGGTTGGCTAATTCATTAAATCTCAACAGAAATTCCGAAGGCATTTTCGTTTCGAAAAGATTAATTAATTAGGGTTGTGAAACCGATCATCGTACAGCATAATTCGATAATAATTCAGTTACCCTCGGACGCCGGCTTTCGAGCAAACTTCGTTCCGGCTGCATCTAAAAACCATACTCCGTAAAAAATGACTACTTAAGCAGTATGTATTTTTTCATTGATTTTCGATGCCTTTAAAGATTCGATTAAATTTCATGGAAAACATGCATAAAAGTATTCATTCTTTTGCTCGTTCAGTAGAAAATTACGTCTTCTTTCAATTTTACACTTGAAGGAAAGGTAAAATTTGCAAATTTAACAATGTGACTCAAATCTACTGCTTAATTTTATGAACCCCATGTGGTTTCCTCTTAATACCGTAGAGAACTGTATGGTTTTCTGTACGCAGAAATTATACGGCTTGTAGTTTGGGAACCCTGAATGCGAGTGTAACGGCTGGTCGGGTTCAAAATTACTCGGGAATTGGGGAACTTTTTATAAAACCGAATTATGCCCTTCCTTCGAGCATAAAATTGAAAGAAGACGTAATTTTCTACTGAACGAGCAAAAGAATGAATACTTTTATGCATGTTTTCCACGAAGTATAATCAAATCTTTAAAGGCATCGAAAATCAATAAAAAAATGCATCCTGCTTGAGTAGCCATTCTTACGAGTATGGTTTTTAGATGCAGCCGGAATGCAGTTTGTTCGAACGCCGGCGTCTGGGGGTAACTGAATTATTATCGGATTCTGTTGTATGATGACTGGTTTAACAACCCTAATTAACTAATCTCTTCGAAACGAAAACGCTTTTCGGAATTTCTTTTGGGATTTCATGAGTTAGCCCACTTACTGTATGTGCACCTTTATCCTTCGGCCTCTGTCGAAACGGCATAAACCCCCCAATGGACTACCCTTATACTCCTACTTTGCTAATTTGGCAGACGCTAATACTGCCATCTGCAATATGACTTAGCGCATCCTATCGACTCCCCATAGTAACAGCCTAGTTCTTCGTCCTATGAACGCCTTATTCTTTTATTTTGTGACTTCCCTCGCACAAGTCTGTGTCGCCGTGTGCTTCCGGGCTTCGAAGGCCTTGTTTCCTTCAGTCCTCGAGCTGACGTTCTTCTTGATCACATTCTAGTTAATTACTCTGGCTTGTTTTATGCCTAAAACATAAGCCCCACTGTCTGGCTCAGATCCTTCCATCGTACTGGTTCTTTCAAGAATCTAATTCATGTCTTGGCGAGCAGCGACAGCTAAGTCTAGGCAACAAATTGCGCCTTACGACGCTTCACGACGCTTCCCCCAGAAACATTACTCTGTTTCAGAGTGCTGCAATTAGTGCTGTCTCCCCTCCCCTCCCACCCCAACTACCCTGCTGCATTACAAAATTAAATGTTTTCACATCTGAGGCAACTGTTGCGGTCAGACCTGACG